GCATTTGTTTTGAAAAAGTTATTTACATTTATGTCACGTAAATAAAATTCCAAAAAGTTTTGTTACACACTGTATATTCCTATAATATTAATATGTTCTTTTTCTTTGAACTGCAGATCTGCACTAATTCCTCTGCCTGAATATTTGATAATTTTTTCCATATGTCTGTTGATTTTTTTTTTGATCAATAATACAATCACTGTTTCTTTATTGTTGTTGCTTCAGAATATATTATATATTGAATGCTTCCAATACTTGTAGTTTTCACTTTGTATCTGTGTTTCTGTTAGAAGAGTCATATTTATATCTCTAAGTATACAATATATGAATATTGTTTGTCATTTGATATGATTATTAAGATCTCTAACATTGTATATTAAGAGTTTCCATGAGATGGATATCTGATTCATGGGAGGTGAGTTGTTAATTATTAAGTTATTTTCTGTATTTGTAAATATTAATATTTCTGGTTGTTTGTTATTAGCTTCACTTTTATTATTCATCATGATTATTGAATTGAAGAGTTATATTTATTGTAATATCAATAAGTTAGTTGAGTGTGCCTACTATATTTTGGAAGATGTTGTCGATATTTGTCATTTGTGTATTAAGGTTGAATTGCTATTCTCTAATGTCTGCAATATCTATAACTAGACTTGTTGCTTGTTTTTTCCATTAGTAGTTGAAGTCTCTAGGTTCTAGGGTTTCTGATCTAGAAGGGTTTTGATCTAGGTATTCTTTGTCTACATCAATTGCTACTTCTACTTGTTCTTTATAATCTACAGTATAAAAGTAAGCAAAGTCTTCCAAATTGTCAACTTTATTGTCCAGATTATTAATTGTCTCTTTGATTTGTTTCAGTTCTGCTTCTATAATTTAAACTATACATGTGATATAAATTATTTGCTGTTAACTCAATTTACAAAATCCTCAAAAATAATTATGTCATGACTTAATTATTTATAAGTTTTAATAGTGACTCAATTAATTGTGTTAAATAATTGTGTCAATTGCATTAAGGATCTATGAATTTCAGCAACATATATAGTTTGAATGGTTTTGAAGACTTCAGTTAAAAATGATTGGAGATTGATCATGGCTGCTGAATTATCAGCTGTTAAGTTTAATATTTTATTAAAAGGTTATTTCGCTACCTGTACAAATGATTTTCTATTTGTGAATCTGCTGATTGCTTTATTGAATTATTCTCAGGTCCTAAGGTAATCTTGATTATTTGCTTTATTAGTTTATCTATTTGTAATTTTTTTAATGTGTATTGTTCCTTCTGGTTTTTAACATTAATAGAGTATATTATATCTTTTTGCTTTTTGCCTAAGTGCTTGTTGTTTCTCCTAACATTTGGCTTTAATTATATATTGTGTTATCAGATGCTTTGGTGAGTTACAGATTGCATATAGTTTTTTATTTATTTTGTACTATTGTAAAAGTGTTTCTTCCAAATATACTTTCTTGTTTTTTGCTTTTTCTTTTGCTTTAGCTGTCACAAAGTTAAGTATTGCAAACCATTTTCTTATATAGTTTCAGTTTCAAGAAATATAATATTATACTGCTTTGATAATGTCAATTATTTTGTGCAAATCATATTCAATTATTCCTAGTAAGAGATTTATAAGTTTGAGAATGAACCTATCTTGTGATAGTTTGACTTTATTGGTTTTCAAAAGGAAATAAATTCTTAGTAATTTCTTTTTAAATGTGATGTTCTATTTGTCTACAATTTTGTTATAATCTTTTTGTATTATTCATTTTCAAGTTGCAGATCTGCTCAAATTTAACTAATTTCTGTCTAATTTCTTGTTAATTGATATCCAGAAGAATATTCCAGACACAAATAGTTTTGTTTACTTTGTATACTTTTTATACATCTTTTTAATTGGCAAATGAGATGATAATCAATTTCGCCTCTTGTTACTGTGCTACCCAGGTGCCTGTATAGGAGTCCAGGTGGATAATTGCTTTTTTGACTGCCTTGAGTTTTTGCTTCAAGAAGCCTGTTAGGTTTTTTGCCTAGATGGCCGTTTTGAAATAAAGATGTCTGTATTAGATGTGCCAATCTGTAGGTGGACCAAATAGCTGTCTAAATTGTTTGGATAGCTTGGCATTAGCAGGTAAAGTCTCTTTTATTTCACTTTCTGACTTTATAAGTGATGAGTCTTCATCCAACTCACCAAAAATTAGTGGGGTATACATTTGGTGAGGCTCTTTTATATTTATGCAGGTGTCTTCTGCCTAGTCATAGGTGATATTTATTCTGTCTCCTGCAGTTGTTATTCAATTAGGTGTCTTGTTGCCACCTGTTTTGAGCATTGTTGACTATTAGTTTTGTTTTTGTTTTTGTTACATTTTGAATACCTGATATTGCTGATGATTGGAGGCAGGCAGGCTCTTGTTTTTGAAGTTGTTGAGATTGTTTGTTGCTATAGTGAGTAGATTTTTTGAGCTGATTTTTAATTGTTTACTGTGAATTTTAGATGAATCTGGGTAAACAGGAAAGAGTTTTTTTTTTTTGAACACTATTTTAAAATATTGATTAAAAGATCAATAGAAAGAATAAAAAAAATTAGAAGATTAATTTCCTAGTTATAATCTTTGATATTATATATATTTGATAGTTATGTAACTGATACTTATTAGCTTTACATATTATTCACAACTTTTTAGACTTTTAGAATTTAAGCCAATTAATGGTATTTATAGCATATATAACACTTTAGTAATAGTTATTATTTGTTAATGATTAACTTACTAGAATAAGTCCATAACCTGCTGCTATTACTTGAAATTAAATTTGTAACATTAGTACTATTATATTAGTAATTTACCATTATATTATAGCCACAGTAGACTTATAATTTAAGAATTTAAATAAGATAATTATTAAATAAAATATATTGAAATAAATTGTTTTTGATTAAAATATTATTGTAAAAATTTAAAAATTTCAAAACATTATAAAATTTTTTGTATAACTTATAATAAAACTTTATTTTATATATTTTTTATTAAGTACTCAAAAAGACTAAATCAATTTAATTTTTTGTAAAAGGCTTTGAATTAATTAAAATATTTTTATTTTAAAGGTTTTTAATTGTTTTTAAAAAATTTAAAAATTTTTGAAAATTTTTTTAAATACAAAGACTAAATTAATTTAATTTTTTGTAAAAGGTTTTGAATTAATTAAAATATTTTTACTTTAAAGATCTTTAAATTATTTTAATATGAAAATTTTTGAAAATTTTTTTAAATGCAAAGATTTCTGAAAATTTTTTTTAAAAAAATTGTTTAAAATAATAGGTTTTTAGATATCAAAATTAAGGTAATATATAAGAAATAATCTGCATAAAGTATATAGATATGTACTGACTTGTATAAGTTCTAAGCTGTAATATAATTTCGATATAAGGCACCTATCAATGAACACAAGTGGCATTCACATTTAGTACCTTAAAATATATATATACAGTATATATATATATTTATTTATTTAAGATTATTACATATTAAAAAAAATCTATATTAAAATATAATATAAATAGGTATTACCTTTATAGTTCAATTTATAATGTTTTTATATCTTGTTAATTTAGTTGAGATTATTTTTAGAATAATGAATAATCCTATATAATCTTTGAATCCTTCTAAAAACTATTACTTTGAATGCTAATTAAGCTATTTTGACTATAATATATCCAAATGGAATTTAATGGCATTTTTTAAAAACGTAATGCATGCTATCATGCAATAACGCCCATCATTACATGGTGGTAGCATCGCCATTTAGGTTCGGTTCATTTAGTTTGAAGTAATTAAAAACCGTTTAACAGTCTTTATTGTTAAATTGGTTGCACAATAAATTTAAGGATTTCGGACGTAGATTTATTCATCCGGTATACTTCTGATATACAGTACATACAGTATATATAGCTTGCTTCTTTATTTCTTAAAATATTAAGATGGCACCCGTAAGATCAAGCTATAACGACATAAGCTTCATACAAGTAACACCTGGGCAAGAACACGACGATGACGAACAGACCAAAAAATTGCGTAAGGCTACTGCCATGCGTAATATCGTAATCGAACCTCTTGCCTCCGTTCCATTTCCCCCGGAAATCAGCGTGGACGATTTGGTAGAATCTCCCAAAAACTCGAAACAAAAATTTAAGTCCCCCAACCGATTTTTTATATTCCGAAAGGCCTACTGCAAGGAAATGATTCGACAAGGCAAACGATATCCACAAGCCATGCTTTCATTATATGTCGGTGATCATTGGAAACGACTCCCGGAAGAACAGAAAGAATTTTATAACAGCTTTGCGGAAAAAGTCCGAATTTTATTTAAAGAAAAATACGGTGCAATCGCCTGTGATGATAAAGGTCCTTCGAGATCTACTAACAAAGTCTCGAAAAAAGTTAAGAAACGTCAAGAGCGTAAGTGGAAACAACCACGACATGCCGAAAGTCATGTGCCGCAAGTGGCAACTCCTCCTCACACAGATGACGACATGGCACACTGCTCATCATTTGGCGCGCAACTTCCAACGCCGGCACATCTCTCAACCAGTACAATAGAGAATTTCTCATATGTTGAACAACCAGCGACACCAATGGACGATTTTTTATCTAGTGTGCAATTTCCGACAGTAGCAGATCTCCAATCCAACACCCAACTTCCGACATCAGTATCAACCATGACTGAACTGGCTCGACAACTCGTAACGCTACTTCAAATAAAATGACAGAAGTAAACGATGTAAGCAAAACAAACTTAGCGCCATCCTAATATTTAAATATATTATCACTAGGAAACAGGAACTGTTGTTAAGTCCGGGGCTAATGGAAGTGACGTAAATACAGGGTCGTGTAAGACGGAAATGACATATTTGCATTACACAAAAATGTATAGAAATATATAGTTCTCACTATGCTCTGGACTAAAAAATGTTTTTTATTATATCTTTTATTTATTTATTATTTTTTTAACAGGCATTAAATATAAACATTTATTGATCGATATAAATAAAATACCCAAGTATTATAACTTAACATTAGTTTATTAAATTGCTATATACAAACTTTAAAACTTAACAGAAAAAAAAATAACTAGCTATTTATTATAATATTAATTATATATATTGTATAATAAATAGATAGTGCAAATAAATAATATAAACAAAGTTTTTTTGTTTTTTTTAAGAAGCAAATGGTTATTATATTATATTATATTTATTATAATTTTAGATTTACAAGACAAGATTACAATATTAATAGCATAATATATATTTTTCTTTGTTAGAAAAAGTCTAATACAAGATTTATAAATGGTTATACTTCTTTATTTCTTGGCATTACTCAACAAATCTATCTAATTAACTAAAAATAATTAGAAAAAAAAACTTTTTTTCATTTTCTTTTCTTATACAGTATTTGAAAATTTTCTTTTTGGAAAATTTTTAAGTTATTTACTTTTCTTTTATTTTTCCCTTCTCTTTTCTTTACTTTCTTTTTTCTATATTCTCTTTTTTCTCTCTTCTCTTATTTTTTTCCTCTTTTTTACAAACTTCTTTTTATATATCATTTCTTTTTATATATCATTTTTTTTCTCTTTTTTTTGAAGATTTTTTTTTCTTTATACTTTTTTTTATTATTATTATATCACTTTTTATTTCATTATCCTTCTGATATATAAACTCTTTTCTTTTAGAAAACATTGTTAATCTATTTAATAAACCTTAAAATTAAATAAATCAATAGATAACAATAGTAGGGAATCACTTAGTTTAAAAAAAAATAGCCTCAGTTGTAATATACTAATGTTAATAAGATGAAGGAATTAGACAAAGTTTATTTTTAAGACAAGAGGCACAGTGATTTGATTATAGATTTAAGATGATTTTTATTAAAGAGAATTTGAAAAAGTTAGGAAATTCCTTAAACAGTTAAAAAGAACAGTTGTTCTATTTATATATGTTTAAAACATATAAAGCAAAAAAGTAAATAAATAACAAGATAATATAAAAACTCTTTCTGCTGATCCTTTTGCCAACCCAAAAAACAGACGTTCTTAAAAAACTTTTTGTTTTTATGATAATAAAGTCTATATACTTTTCTTAACAACACTGGTTCCTTAACCAGCAGAGTGAGCAGAAGCTACCACTTGTTTTATTTCTTCTTTTCAAAATACTTTTCTTGTTTATTTTGGCGACTAAATACAAGAAACCTACCTAAAAGGTCTATGGCAAGAACACCTCTCTAGGAA